AAAATGTGGCTCGAACCCCGCCAAGACAACAAGCCAAAATGAAGCGAGACGAAAGGATGGGACGAAAGCACGGCTACGGGGTGGGTCTAAGGTGCTGTGAAAGACGGAGGGAAAGAGGAGAAATACAGAGAGAAAGAGAGAGAGAGAGAAAGAGACGCTTTTTTGCCTGGAGCAACCCTGGTACCTGGAAAACCAGCCGCTACTCTCTCTAGTGCAGCCACATCCCTCTTTAGGGCAGGATCTGAGCGTGCCGGCAGCCTCCCGATCTCCGCTGGGCTTAGTTTATTTTTATTTTTTTTTTTCCTCCTCCTCTCTCCTGACACGCTGCTGGTGTGGCTAAGTCCTGGATCTCTCCCTGCCCGCGTCCCGGGGCTGCAGCATCCCTTTTGCAGGTGGGGTGGTGGCCATGATTAGCTGTTTTTCTGTCATGCATTAAAAGCTCTCTAGATGCCGCGGGAAAGGAAGAGGAGGAAGACAGAGGCGCAGCGTCGACGGCGGCGGCCCTAACGCTCGAAGAAAGCCAAGAGCCAGCAGCTAGAAGAGGAAACAACCGCCAGTGACACCAGGACAACTTACCCAACGCCAGCCGGGGAGACCGGGTCTTTGCATGGCCAGTAGCCCGGAGTCACGGCCGCCGGGGAGGAAAGGGTTGGGGGGGTTCACCACGGGGGGGGGAGGCTCAAGAACTTACCCCGTGGCGGCTACCGTGGTGGATGTCGTCTCCGGTTGGAGAATCTCCTCGCCAGCCCTCCTCGGGGAAGGGATGTCTCCGAAAACATCCATGGCGTCCACGGGCAGGGAGGAGCCCTGGGAGGCGGCGAAGCCAGTGGCCAGGGAGGCGAAGGCGGCGGCGGCAGCGGGTCGGTAGCTGGGGCTGCCTCCCCGGCTGCTGGGCGCCGGGGACCCCGTGGAGGACGGCGTGGACTTTCGGGAGAAGCTGACGGCCGCCGGGGGCTGCAGGGTGATCTCCGACACTTCCGCCTGCTGGATGAGCCCAGGCCGGGGCCGGGCACGGGCCGTCAGCTCCGGGGAGCTGTTGCGGGAGCTGAGGGGGCTTTGGGTCAGTGGAGAAAGCCTTGAAGGTTGTAGCACCACCTGATGTAAACTGGGCTCAGCCCTCCTGACCTGCCGAGGGCTGGGCCGAGGTCGGGGTTGGGGCTCGTACCACCTGGTGTCCAGGCTGAATGTGCTTGTGCCGCTGGGGCCGACGGGCTCGGACGGTTCGTGGTAAGGCAACACGGGTATGCCCATACCTTGGCTGGTATGTCTTAGCTGCCCTTGACATCCCATGGGTTGCATAGGTTTGTCCTGCCACTTGGTGGTGGTGGTAGTGGTGGTGGGCACAGAAGACTGGCCCCTGCCGGGTGACTTGCCGGTCCAGCTCTTTGGTGCCTCCAGGGGCAGGATGCCCGGGTAGGACGCAGGGACCACTTGGAGGGAGGAAGGAGGTGGCCCCCGAGGAAGGCAGCCGGTGGACTGGCAGCCATCGGCCGACTCGCAGGGCTGGAGCTGGTGGGGGAACGGCGCCGGGGCCGGCTCCAGGCCGCCGAAGGGGAACTCGGCCCTACCCCAGGGCTCGGGGGACCGGCCCCCCGTGGGGGTCTGGGCCAGGGGCAACGTGCTGTTGGAGGCGTTCTCCCCGTTCTCCTCGGGGATGGTGGGGTGTCCGAAGGGCCCCTCGGGGGGCAGCGGCGGGGAGGACATGACCGAGCTCAACGGGCTGACTTCTGGCATGTAGAAGGGCGGCGGGTCCACCTCCCCGGGGCTGCTGCTGCTGAGGTAACCGTAAAACTGGTGGTGGAAAGCCCGGGGGGCCGGCGGGCGGGCCTGGCCGGTGGCCTGCAAGGCGCCGGGACCCTCCAGCGCCCGGTGGAACCGGGGGCTGTATGCTGGTGGCTGAAGGTAGGACTCCTGGCTGGAGGAGAGAGGGGTGAGCTGGGCTTTCAGGGCGGTGACAGAGGCGGGGACGACGGGGTCGTCATTCTCCTCGTCCGACTGCCTGAACTCGGGGTACATGTCCGTCTCCTCCACGAAGGGGAAGCCCTCGATCCGCCGCGTCTTCAAGGAGGGCTCCATCTCCGCCGGGTCCATGACGAAGCGGCCGTCGGGCCCACGGCTGATGAGCTCGATGGGGGTGGTGGCCTCGGCTTCGGCCTCCGCCTTGGAGACGCTGTACTTCTTGCTGCTGATGGCTCGCTTGGTCTTCTTGTAAAGGGAGAGTTCCTTCTCCTTGGTGGGGCTCAGCATCCGCTTGGCCTGGGGGCCCTGGTCATCGGAGGACTCCGAGGGGGGACGGAGCGTGCGGATGCTCTCGGGACTCACCTTGCCAGAAGACAACCTGGACCACAGAGGAGAAAAACCAAAGAGAGGGGGATGGTCACCCAGAGGGGAAAGAAGGTCTTCTCGCCCAGAAGAACCGCCAGCCAGATCCGGCAAACAAAATCCTCTCAAAAGAGGAACCACTGGGAGAACTTCGCCGGAGGTAACCAGGATGGCAGAGTCTTGCACAAGCCAGAGGACCACCAAAAATGCACATCGCCCCAGCTCCTTGGGAGCAGAGCTCAGCACTCTCAGCATCCCTCCCAGGGCAGGCAGCTCATGCCAACCCCTTGCAATAAGCTCCACCAACACCTTGCAACAAGCTCCGCAGCCCCAGCAGGACGAAAGACAGATCCAGAGCTTACTTCCAACTCCTTCAAAGGTTTCCTATGTTCACTTGAGCTATCCACACCTGGGAAAGCCCCCGTAAGGAGGGACATCAGGCAAATGTCCCCCTCCCACAGAACTCAGCATCTCACTTGGAGATGCTGATGGATCACTTCAACTTTTTCCCTCATTCTCAACACTCAGACCTAAGGCTGAGAGCCTCAAGAGGCAAGGAGCACCAGGATAGTTCACTCATCCCAAATCCAAGGTTTGTCCCAGCCTTGGGCAAACAGGATCGAAAGGCAAAAGATCCAACAGAGAGAGTGCAGGCATGGTTACTTCAGCACAGTGGAAGAACCGACAAAAAGCAAGATTAAGATCCAACAGGGAAGATCCTCCCACTGCTAATTAGCAGCTATAAATGCTTGTGATGGGCTCTGCAAGGAGCTGTGGCTACTGCAGCACCACGATCCACCACCTTTGGGCACACGCGGAAAGAGGCTTCAGCAGGGCACTCTTCATGGGAAAAGAAAAAGATAGGGGTGTAAGATGCTCTGAATTTCCCAAGAAAAATGAGAGCCAACAGAGAATGACTCAAAAACCACACCAAGCTTGCACAAAGGACTCCACACACAGCAGGCTAGACCTTCTCCTGAGGAGAAGCTGGGTGTGCAATTGAGTTCCACCAGTCAACTCCAGCTTTGGTCAACGTCCATAGATCCAACGGGGTCCACTCTTAGCTTAAAGTTTGCCGTGTTTGTCCCTGCTCCTAGCAAAAGCCGAGGGAACGCCGTCTCCAAAAGGGATGCTGCAGCGCGCCCAGAGAGACCCTACCAGTTGGGACTGCTTTCTGCTCCAAAGCCCCTTTGTCTCTTGTGAACCACTCTGTTCCCACAAGTTCAGGGAACACCCAAAACAACTCCTCAGAAGCCATTTCCATTTGAGCCTTGCAACAACTGTAGGAAGGAGGCACCTTGAAGACCCCCATCCTGGTGCCGCATCTAAGATACTTACGGGGACTCCAAACTCTTCCTGCAGTGGGTTATCGAGAGAGGAGGGTCTGGAAGAGAATAAAAAGGGGAAAGAAGAGAGAACGCTAAGGAGGCGCAACACGACAGAGACAAGACAAAACCCAACATCAAGACAACAAAAAGACACTCAACAAGAGGCCGAGGTTTCATTGCTCCAACGCTTTAATGGTTGCTGACAATAAACAGCTCCCGTCACAGGGTCCTGCTGCCGCGGTCTCGCAGGCGAGAGGAGAAGGAGCTGATTCCCCTGCCCTCTCTGGCTCCCCAGCTGCCCTCATCCCTGCTGCAGTCCCAGCTTTCGGGAAGCAGAGCCGCAGGGTCTCCTTGTGGGGGTCTTCTCTAGCCTAGCGCGGCCATCGGGCACTGCCCGCTCCGGGCTGGGCAGGAAGCAGCTGGAGAACCCAGCTCCAGGGGAACCTCCAGATAGGTGAGCGGTGTGTCCCCCCCATTCTCTGTCCCAAAGGACACCCCAGCCCTAAAATTCCCACCCCGGGCTCTAGGAGTTATCACCAGTTTCTCTGTCGCTTCTTCACCCACCCTGCCTCTCCCGCTCCCGACCACGGGCGCTTTCAGGCACGGCCGAGGGATGAAGTCAGGGTTTCACCTGAGGACGCGCACGGACGGAAGAAGAGACAGACAGACAGACAGGGAAGACAGTTACCACCACAACACAACCAGGGAGGAGCGAGGAGGAGGAGGAGGAGACAGGAGGGAGGAAGGAAGCCCCACCGGTGGAGGGGACGGGCTCACCTTTCTTGCGCTTGAGCTTGCGTTTGCGTTGCTTGTTGACGAAGCAGGCGGCGAGTGTGCTGAAGAGGATGGCAGCAGCCAGGAAGCAGATGGTGGCAACGATGCCAGCCAGCACAGGGCGGGCTAGACCCTCGTCCGTCAGGTCAGGCTGAGGGAATACGTCTGGGGAAAGGAAAACCCACAAACAATTAGGTGTTATACACACACACACCTCTACCCGCTGCCTCCCCCAGGGACCCACCACAGCGTGAAAGCAACTGGTACCAGGAATGATAATCTCTGAGTAAAGACCCTGCTTTCAACCCAGCCCACCTGGGGAGAGCAGTCAGTGCTTCTGCTACTGCCAAGGGATTTAGTGACCTCATACCAGATAAACCTTTTTGCCTTGGCTGATGGAGACCGAAGGAACAAGCCTCTATGCCCCGCAAATACACATTTACGTACAAGCGCAGACAACTGCGCCAAACCCACAGTTACCTCCTGGCTGAATCACCTGCCTGCAGCACCACAAGGAATTTTACCCTGTCTGTCAGTGCTTCATTTCAGCTTTTCAATGAAAACTGGGCTTTGAACCTTCGTGATGCCTCTTTGCTAACCACGAAGGCATCCGAGCCACCAGCAGACCTCGGCTGCGGCCGTTTGGGGATGCAAACCCCACACGCACCGGCAGATCCCACCAGGAACACCGGCTTTTAGCTGGAGAGGGCAGCTGCCTGGGGCCAGCCGAGCCCTGTGAGCGCTGCCAAGCCCCATCAGAAAAAATCCTGCGAGAGGAGGCAGGGCAGGCAGGCGAGCAGGCAGGCAGGCTGGCTGGCTGCACCACTTGGGGGCAGAGAGAGACCGCAGCATTCCTGCGCACAGCAGAGCTGGGTGGCTCCTCGTTTTTTCCACGAGAGCCATAAAAAGCAAGGTTTCCACCGCATCCCCGTCTCCTCCTGCTGCCTTTGCCTTTCCCCATCGCAACCGCGCGCCCTCCTCTGCCCCTTGGTTGATCAAGGAGGAATCCTCCGAGCTGGAGGTACGCGCAGGAGCTGCAGTCTCAAAGCTATCACCCCCCCCTAAGGAGGAATCCTCCGAGCTGGAGGTACGCGCAGGAGCTGCAGTCTGAAAGCTTCCACCCCCCAGCACCTCCTCGGACTCCGCACTGCAGTGCTGCATTTCCCCTCTCTCCACCTTTCCTTCCCGTTTCCAGGCTCTGCAGTGCCCGGTCAGAGCTTTGTTCCCCGGGCACCCCGCGGAGCCGTGATGTGCTGCCGCTCTGCGCCAGCGGACGCCCTACGGGGAGGACTAAATGGGGCAGCTCGTCCTCACCTCCTCCCAGTGTCACCAGGCCGGGACACTGATCCTAACCCTGCCCTCATCAGCCCAGCTCACAGCCCGAGCAGCTGGGGGAAAAAGCCCCAAACCAGCCATCGCTGTCATACCGACGCATGATGGAAGCGGAGATGCTCCCACAGCCGTGGGGCAGAAGAAGGAGCCACCCCTTACCTGTACTGGACACGCCAGCAACGTTGCTGGGTTCGCTGATGAGATCCTGCATGACAGCCAGGACACGGAACTCGTACCAGGTGTCCTAAAACACCAAGAACATCCGTCAGGTCCCCCATCACAGCCTCCAACCTTGCCCAGCTCCTCAAAGACCCCCAGTACGGGACTGAGCCACCCCAAAACCTTCTCCCCAGAGCTGCAGCCGCACCAGAGGTATGGTGTGGGGAGCCCCTGCTCACCTGGGACAAGTCCTTGGCAAAAAACTCGCTCTCGGTCCCCGGGATGCCATCGTCCAAGATTTCCCACCTCTCCGCGACGCGGAACTCCATGATGTAGCGGTCGATGGGGAAGCTGTGGTTAGCAGGAGGAAGCCACGACAGGAGGACGCCTTGCTGTGTCCGGTTGGCTGTTAGGCACCTCGGTGGGGTAACCAACACCAGAGGCTCTGGAGTTGTTACAGGGAATGCTGGAGAGAGAGCAGACAGGACAGGGACACCTTTGAGATTGGGGGGCAAGGGGAAGCGCAGAGGATGCTCCTCTCCCCATGGTGGTTGATGGACCACTGTGGCAGTGGCAGGTCTCACCTTCCAAGAGTTTAGGATACATCTTGGGTATGAGCTCTCTTATCTCAAAGATGTTAAAAAATGGCTTTCCAAAAAGCAGGGGACTCCAAGAAAAGAGGCACAGCACTAGAAAAGCTCCTGCTTCCGCCCACCTCTGCCTGAGATAGCCCCAAGGCAGGTACCAGCACAAGGCCCTTTTTGTGGTAGCTCCTGCTCTGAGCCGCACGCAAGTGATTTTGTGCTCTATTAATGCCTCCTGACCCCAGCTGAACTTCAGGAAGATCTGAAAGGGGACTGGTAAGAGTACAGCTCTCCCACGCTGTCTCTTCAGACAAGCTTTCAGGAGCCTCATGCATCCAGCAAAAGCTCCTGCTTCCGCCCACCTCTGCCTGAGATAGCCCCAAGGCAGGTACCAGCACAAGGCCCTTTTTGTGGTAGCTCCTGCTCTGAGCCGCACGCAAGTGATTTTGTGCTCTATTAATGCCTCCTGACCCCAGCTGAACTTCAGGAAGATCTGAAAGGGGACTGGTAAGAGTACAGCTCTCCCACGCTGTCTCTTCAGACAAGCTTTCAGGAGCCTCACGCATCCAGCAAAGTCTACAAGCTTCATCCAGGACCCTCCAGGAACTATCTTCTGCGTGGCTGGAAACTACTGCTGCTGATCACCAACTCCATCCCCTGCAGACACATGGATGGAGGCAAAGGGCCACTTCTCCCCATGGACTGCCTGAATCCCTTCCCTCTCCTCCCCTTGCACCCATGGAGGACCTACCTAGAGTGTTCACAGTGACCACCTCACTGAAGGAGCTGGTACCCAGCTTGTTTTGAGCCAAGACACTGAACTGGTATGCAGTCTCCGGTTCCAAGGTATCCACCACTAGCCAATTGGAACCAGCTGGCACAGGGAGAGACAGCCAGTCGTGGGGGCCAAACTGGGCTCTTTTCATCCTGCCAAGAGACAAGGGAGCATCCTCAGGGAAGGCGCCTTCGACAGGGAGGACAAAGAGGCAGCATTAACTTCTCGAGCGAAAAATGGAGCTTTCCCGAGTGATGGTTTGGTTTGACAGCAGCAATGTGTATGGACATGGGGCAGCCACTCGCCACCCCCGAGCTGGCTCGGGGACGTGAGGACCACCAGGCATGGGACACTGTCCCACTGTGCCACACCAGCATCCCCTGGCTCATACGGACACGGCCACCAGCCCTCCCCTCTGCTGAGCACCACCTGCACCCTCTGAGCAGGGTGAGGGACAAAAGCAGTGCCACCAGCCCTGCTCTGAGCTTATCTCCATCAGATTCCCATTGGGAAAGGTGGAAGTTGGCCCATTTTTAACTCTGGTGAGCGCTGTGAAGGGGATGGCTGGAGCAGGAGATGGGCCCCGTTCCCATTTGTACCTCGATGGCTCCCAAGGCAGAGCCAAGTTCTCCCTCTGTACATGCAATCTCACAAGAGACATTTAACTAAATCCCCATTTTTGCCATATTTGCCCAAGTGGGGGCACTGGGAGCCATCCCAGTGTGACCCCAGCACACAAGAGCCCGTAGCCACCTCCACAAGCCATAACTCTGCCGGGAAGCACCACGGTGAAAGAGCCCCCACATCCCGAAGCGGCATCACCGTGCTGCTTAGGATATCGCGAGTGCCAGGGATGCTCTAGGGAATCCCAGCCCCCAGCTGCAGGTTTTGGGGGTGCCCGCAGAGGATTTGGGCAGGTTTACTGCAGAAGAAGGTCTATTCTGCGTAGCTAAGCGGGCGATACCTACAGCCACCGGCACGCAGCCAGGGAAATTAAAAAAAAAACCACCGAGCAGCAAGTAAGAGATGGAGAAAAAGACAAAAGGGAGGGAAAGGTGAGGCGGGAGAAGCAGTAGTATGGAAACAAGCGTGTCAGTGGAGAGCCATGCACCCTGCAGCGTGCTTCCACCAAAACCTCCGGATCGCCGCGGCTCCGGCAGGGACTACAGCTCCCAGGATCCCCCGCCGCCGCAGCGGAGGCATGGAGGGCATCCTCACCCCCAGCAGGTTTTCCCTGCCCCGAGCAGATTTTCCCTGCAGCCTTCAGCATCCCATTTCTCCCCAGGGATGCCGCAAGGGGCTGAGGGTGGGGAGAGCAGAGGGTAAAAGCAGCATGAACGGTCTCTGGGCACGGCAGAGCGCCTTTGCGGAGGGAGAAGGGGAGAGAGGCAGGATGCTGCGGTGGCCTCAGCCCTCCCTGGGGAGCAGGGTTTGCATTTCCAGCATCAGCAGCCACAGAAGCAGGAGGCGAAGCCATCTTTTGCTCCAGCATCCCCTAGCCACAGGAAAACGCACTCCCTCTCTGGATAGCACTGGATGGTCCCAGCACCATCCACCCCTCCCAGGCTCCCCATCCCAGGGAGCAGCACAGCCCCCCAGACTCACACCCCACAAGGCAGGGCAAGGCAGGTCTCTGCCTCTCTGTCCCAGGGTCCTCCCAGCTCCCTGTGAATTCCCTGAGGCAAGCTTGGCACAAATGCCCTTCCCTGGGGTTGGGAAGAGCCCTCAAGGAGACAGGAACCTGACAGGAGCAGCTGCTGCCACCTCCCTCCAAGGTGAGCCACGTCTCCAGAGCAGAGAGGTTTAACCACTCCTTCCCAAGGACGTTTTCAGGAGAGCAAAGACTGCACCCCCTCTGCTCGCTCCCTCATTTTCCTCCTCTGCTCGCTCCATTTCTTCTCCTTTCTGTCTCCCAACAGATTGCTCACCCCCACCCCGCCAGTGCCCAGCCTCAGGCTGGAGAGCAGAAATCATGACAGGCAGCATCTACCCTCTCTCCGCTCCATCAGCAGCCTCCATCGGAGCAAATTAAGGCAAGGGAGGAAAGAAGAGAGCAGAGAAGGAAGGCTGAAGAGCGCCAGCCCCAGAATTGGGAAGGGAAGGCAATCATCCCCTCTATGTTTCCAGAAAAAGAAGGCAAGAGCAAGCACAGGGCCCAAAGAAAACCCTGACCTCACTGCAGCTACGTTTTACCCTCCCCTGCCCCAGGGAAAAGCCGGCAGGGCTGAGCCCCAGTGCGGGAAGGCAGGATGGATGTGGGTACCAGGGTAAGGTGGGAGCGATGGGAACAAAGCCCCGTGAAGCTCAGACCCGGGTTGGCATCTCACGGAGGCTGGTTGTGAACTCAGCCGGGATTTAACCACCTCCAGGGAGCCGCAGAGCAAGGAGAGATCATTTCTGCTTAGTCACAGCTCTTCCAGGACGCACTCTATAAAGGTTGTGTTTTCCAACCCTCTCTCTCCCAGCTGTTAAAGCTTCATAAACAGTTTAGCTTGAAATTAGATGCCAGCGGCAAAGTTACACGGATGCAAAGCCTCTTCCCTTGCACCACAAGCAGAATAAAACCTGCTGGGGCGGACAGTGGCACTTGGCTAGCAAAGGAGGGAGAAGAAACAGGGGGACCTACGTGATCCCACCACCATCCATCTCTCCTAGGGACCGCACAGGAGCTCAGCCCTGTAATGCCCACGGGCACCGAACCGGCCAGG